CGTATTTTGACCTCTATGCGGTCGTTGCCAAAGAGCCCTGTGTCCATCGCCTGGCGATGCTCTTCCGTTTCACCAGTTGCGTTTTTTGACTAAAATTTGGGCAGTACTGTCAGTCACGAAAATTGATGAATAAATTAATACACATAAAATATGAATCACGGGCTAATTCAATGGTCACCGAACACTCCACTACTAAACAATCTGTGGCAAGATAGTAGCGTACTGTATATTTGACCCAGATTTGACAAGCGTGGTACAGTTTTTTGCGCGTGTCCGTAATAACGCGCACAAAGGATTGTGGGACAGAGTCCTTTATTTGCTGGCATTCTTGACTTTTGACTGCAGTTCTTTTTTTATATTTTAGAGTAAATGCTTCTGATATGCTCTTAGGTTGCTTAATAAAGGTGGTCACATTTTTCGATTAGGAGTCGTATATTTAAATTACTCACTGTGACTAGTGTTTTGCATTATGAAGTATATTGTTATGAAGGTCAACACACTGCAATTTAGGTAAATATTTATCATTTCGTTATTTCATTATTTTGCTTTCCAGCATTTACGGGAAACACTTCATTCTAAAAAATGCTATCGCCAAACGGTTGGAAATAATAAATGTATTTAAATGTAACAGCAGAATACGTCCTAGCACAGTCACTCTACTAGGAGAGAGTAACTGTGGTCCTAGTACTAAACTAAGTGACTTCTAAAGACTGAATGGTGTTTGCGAACTTCGTATTAGTTATAAACCGACGTCAGCTTCACGTTTATGTCACCATGGAAACAGCCAAAAAACATGTTGCTTGTTTTTGAGCGGAGCGGATCGCCAACCAGCCTACCGGCTTGTGTCGTTTTGTGTGTGGGTCTGTGTGTGTACATTTCCAGTGTTTTCACGTATGATTTCTTCTGTGATTTTTTTGGCTTGGCCGATTTCGTTCAAACTTGGCAGGTAGGTCACACCTTCACCCTAGTTATTAGGAAAAATCTGCAAAAAATGTTGGCCCACCATTGCCATAGCAACAGCCAAAAAACTGATTTTTGGATAGCTTCGCGCCAAATGTATCTCCTCCTACAAATTTGGGATAAAACACTTCAGACATAGCTCATTCTACTCAGCTTGAGTGTGGGCACAAAGTTAGCATTTGAATTTTTGATATCTGTTTTCATTACCGAGAAATTTGACCCTAAAGTTGGGGTAACTTTTCACCAGCAACAACTTTTAACTCCTCTGTGATTGTTTCGGCTCGGCCGGTTTTGTTCATACTTCACAGGTAGGTCGTGCCGTCACTATTTGGAAAACAATCCTGGCCCACCATTGCC